ATTGTGAATAGTGCTGCAGTGCACTTACATGTGCACATGTCTTTTTGGTGTATTCCCAGACGTGGGATTGCTGTATCATATGGAAGCTCAATTTTTAGTTCTTAAAGAAATTGCCACACTGCTTTCCACAAAGGTTGAACTAGCTTACATTCCCCCCAACAGTGTAGAAGCGTTCCCTTTTCTCCACAGCCATGCCAGCAGCTGTTGTTTTTTGATTTCTTATTGACATCCATCCTGTGGGTCTTCAACTTTATAAAGAAGCTATTGATGAGGCTTAATCAAGGATGAATGGTGGCTGTCTTTGATATGCCCAGATTTACATTCTGAAATGACCACTTTGGTTGTAGTGCTAAGAATGGCTTGGAGGTTGTGGGGCTGAAAGGGCAACAGTTCATGGAAGAAGACAGAGTTAAAATCTGCCAGACTGAGCGGGCTGGACTTTAGGATGAGGGAGAGAGATGGCAAGGATGTCGCCTAGTTGTCAAGATTGTCTGAGGCTTTGGTAGACTTCACACAAAGGAATTTTTCCTGGCATATATATATTTTGAGTTGGAGTCTCAGTCAAAGAGGCTGCAGTGCAGTGGCATGCTCATGGCCACCACAGCCTTAACCTGCTGGGCTCAGGTAGTCCTTCCACCTCAGCCTTCCAAGTAGCTAGAAACACACGCATGTGCCACCATGCCCAACTGATTTTCTGATTAATTGTAGAGATGGGGTCTCGCCATGTTGCTAAGACTGGTCTCAAGCCCCTGAGCTCAGGTAATCCTCTCACCTCCACCTCTCAAAGTGCTGGGAATCCAGTTGTGAACCACTGCACCCAGTTCTGGCACATATTTTAATAAATGGTACTCACCCTTTAAAAAGTCAATTTATGGCTGAATGCAGTGGCTCACACCTGTAATCCCAGCACTTTGGGAGGCTGAAGTAGGAGGGTCACTTGAAGCCAGGATTTAAAGACCAGTCTGGGAAACATAACAAGTTCCTATGTCTACAAAAAATAACTGGCCAGACAAGGTGGCACACATCTGTAGTCCCAGCTACTCAGGAGGCCAAGGTGAGATGATCACGTGAGCACAGGAGTTTGAGGCTGCAGTGATCTGTGCTTCAGCTTGGGCAACAGAGTAAGACTGTCTCTAAATAAATACATAAGTAAATAAATAAAATCAACTTATAATGGTGAAATGCTATGTTTTTTAATTGCTATAACTAATCATAGTATAATTGTCTTCATGATATTGATAATGAGAATGGGATCTTTGAAGAATTAAAGCTTGCAAGAGACTATTAGAAATATTTGCTTCCTGATTTCCTCTGCCCCATGAAACTGTTTGAAATCCACTTGCATTCACTGTGACCTGTATTGTGATTCTCTCATGATCTCATTCTCTTTAGTCCCAAGAAGATTCCTGCATCACATTCAGGCCAATGGTTTTATGAAGAAAAGCCACATAAAGCAGGCTTGCTCCTTGAAGATGGTCCTTTTCTTCAGGAAAATGTACGCAAAGCAGTTAGTGACTTCTGCAACTGGGTTGCTACTCTTGTAAGTTAGTAGTAATGCTTAAACAAATTTTTAAAAGTCAAGTTCAAAGTTGCTTTCATTAAAAAACAGAGTTGGATAAAAATCTAAGTCTAGGTCAGGTATGGTGGCTCATGCTTATAATCCCAGTACTTTGGGAGGCTAAGGTGAGAGGATTGCCTGAGCCCATGGGCTTGAGACAAGCCTGGGCAACTTGATGAGACTTCATCTCTACAACAAAGAAAAAAAAATTATCCAGGTGTGGTGGCGCATGCCTATAATTCCAGCTACTTGAAAGGCTGAGATGGAAGGATCGCCTGAGCCCAGCTGGTCGAGGCTGCAGTGCTCAGGAGTGGGCCACTGCCCTCCAGCCTGGGCAGCAGAGTGAGACTCCAACTCAAAAACAAAAACAAACAAACAAACAAAAACCTAAGTTAAGTTGTCACAGTTGTAAGGGAATTATTTTCTTTCCCCATTTATAAATAACAATGTTTCTGGTAGGTGAAATTTTTGGAAAGTTTGCAAGATTGCAACTAATTTAAATGTTTATGTTTATACCTCACACCATTGCTGTCATTTCATTTCTATTTTCCAATTCAATGTCAAGGTCTTCTTTTCTCTCTTTCACTCATTTTTTTCCCTTGTCCAACTCATTTTTTAAGATGAAGAGTACTTACAAAGCCTTCGATAACTGAATCAAAAGATTCTTCATGTCAGAAATTTTTTATGTGAAGATTTTAGTCAAGCATGTACAAAAGTCTTTTGACTGAGTTGTCAAGTGCTTTTCCTTGTCCTTCTTCCAAGAACCTATTTAGTGACATATTGTTGTCCCTGAGTCTCAGTAGATGTCTAGATTCTTTGGATTTGAGACCTCTAGAATTTTTATTCAGCTCCCCCATTTTTTTGGTGATTAGTCTGTTTCAGTCAGTGTATTATTTAATACTATTTCATTAGCAACTGACTGAAATATTAGGAACTTCAGGCACAGCTGAATCCAGGTGCTAAAATGTTTTTAGGGGTTGATTCCATTTTGGTTGTACTCCTCAGACTTCATTCTCAAGTGGTCTTTCCCCAAGAGATGCCAAAATAGGACACTAAAATTTCCAGACTTATATTCTACTGGTAAGCAACCTAAGTGGGAAGAAAGCAACGCGTTTCCAATAGGGAGAAGTCCAGAGCTTATTCTCACTGTCCTACCTGGGTCACATGCCTGTGCCTGAATTAACCTTTGGGGTTGAGGAGCTGGACTGTACTCATTGGCTAGGCCAGGTCTCATGTTTAGACCTGAAGCCGAGGCTGAGGGTATCCAGCTGCAGCAAACTGACTGAGTGAGGGAGGCGCCTCGGAGGGGGATTGGCAGAAATGCTGGCTCAGGCAGATGATGACCACCATGTCTGGCACCCAACCACCACTGGTCCATAAATGGTGGCTTGGGTTGCCTGGTTCCCAGCCCTAACCCTTCTCTCATTCTTGGTGCTGGACACTAATGCTCTGTTGTGCAGAAAACTCAAGGAATCTTGGGACTGCAGTCAGGCAAACCTCGACTCCAGCTGCTAGTGATCTCATTGTCTCTGTGTTTCCAATTTCTATTTTCCAAAGTTGGATTCTGTTGGGCTTAATATCTTTTAGCCTTGAGCCACACCAGAGGTCAACACTCAGCCTACGGATGAGCTGCTGTGACGTGCCCATCTCTACCCCCACCAGCTGTTGCTGAGAAAGGGAAAGGGGGAGGCTGTTCTGTGTACAAAGTGAAGCTGATTAGTACTGGCTCCTTCAACAAGAGCCGTGGACAGGGCAGCTTCCCTCATGTAGGGCTGAGGGCAGAATGAACATGGACGGGTCTGGACACTCCTGGAAAATGCTAGGGAAGCTTACTTTTGATCAGACAGACCGAATTTCCTTCACGGACTCACTGCTTCTTGCGGGTCTTGAGCTGTCCTTAAGGCACTGGCAGAGCCCTTCAGACCCAAATACTTCTTGTCCAAACAATGCTAACCATCTTCTACCTTCTTCTAAGCTCTTCCCCAGCAACGGGCAACCACTTCCCAGGTGAAGGAAGAAGGCAAGGAGGCCTTCACCCCTTGCCCTCAGCTCACACAATGTGGTTTTCTTCCAGGGAATTTCGAGCCTTGATGAAGAGCTTGTCCTGAAACAGTTTGACATTAATGATCAGAGCAAACCAAGGAGCAATGTGCTCCGCAGCCTGAGGCTGGACCAGGTTCCTCAGGAGCTCAAGTACAGTGTGGGTCCAAGTGCACTGCAGAAGCCGGAATTCTTCCGGAAACCAGACTATGACAGGAAGCCTCAGAAACCACAGGTAACTGCAGGAGAGCAGACCAAAAATCAAAGAAGATTAAGTCAAACTGAAGTCTTGAATGTTCTTGAATTGTGGTACTTCATGGGGCACAGGCCTTTTAAAGTAGAAATCTTGAATTTTTTTATGATTAAAAAGTATTTGTTAAATGACTGGATGTTTAATACATATGACAAAGGCAGTTATACCAACAAGACATGCCATTCTGAATTGCTGTTAATATCTTTTTTTTTTTTTTTTTTTTGAGTTGGAGTCTCACTCTGTCGCCCAGACTGGAGTGCAGTGGCTGCTCCCGGCCACCGCAGCCTCGACCTGCTGGGCTCTGGTGATCCTTCCGCCTCAGCCTTCCAAGTAGCCGGAATTACAGGCACCACACCTAGCAGATATTTGGAAAATATTTGATAATTACTTTAGAAATTTGTTTTTGCCTTTCAACACCTTCTCAAGGCTCTAATTACATGCAGTTCAGCTGCTTGAAGTGCCTCGCAGCTCACTGCATCACTGTTAAGTTTTTAAATTCTCTTTTCTTTCTTTATTTATGTGACCATGTATTTATTTATTTATTATTATTAAAAAAATTTCTATTGTAAAGCTGTACAGTTCTGGGTTAGGTATACAAACATTGATCATGCAGGTACCCCTGTTAATGAGATATGCCCCTCCCTCTCCTAGCAGTTTCCCTCAACTGCCAATCCCACCTTCCCCCCCACCAATAGTTTCCCATTACTTCCAATTGCTTTCTTGTAGCATTATAATTGTTCAAGATCCTCTTATGAGTGAGAACATATGGAACTCTGTTCTTTGTTTCTGTGATAAATCACTGAGTATGATCCACTCCAAGTCCATCCAGGTTGCTGCAAAGTCCATATATTTATCATTCTTTATGGCTGCATAATATTCCATTGTGTATATGTGCCACATTTTTTTATCCAGTCCAGCTTCGATAGGCAACATGGTTGTTTTCATGTTTATGCTATTGTGAATAGAGCTACAACAAATGTATGTGTACAGGTATCCTCTTTGTAGAATAGTTTGTGTTCCTCCGGGTATATTCCCAATAGGGGAATTTCTGGGTCATATGAAAGGTCAATTTCTAGTTCTTTCAGAAACCTCCAAACTGTTTTCCAGAGAGCTTGTACAAGTTTGCATTCCCACCAGCAGTGTAGAAGCATTCCTTTTTCTCCACATTATTGCCAGCATCTGTTGTTGTTTGTTTTATTAATGATGGCCATTCTTATAGGGGTTAGGGGGTATCTCAATGTGGTTTTGATTTGCATTTCTCTGATGATGAGTGAGGCTGAGCACTTTTTCATGTGTCTGTTAGCTGCCTGTATATCTTCTTTTGAGAAGTGTCTGTTCATGTCTTTTGCCCACATTAAAGGAGCTGTTTGTCTTTTTCCCTTTGGTGCATTTGAGTTCCTCGTAGATCCTAGCTGTTAGGGCTTTGGCAGATATACAGTTGGCAAATGTTTTTTCCCATTCTGTGGACTCTCTCCCTGCTCTCTTGATGGTTTCTTTTGCTTTGCAGAAGCTCATTAATTTGATGAGCTTCCACTTATCTACCTTATTTCTTAAGGTATTGGCCTTTAGGATTCTGAGTAGGAATTGGTTCCCAGTTCAAATTTCCATAAGGATGTCTCCTGCGTTTTCTAATATTTTTATAGTTTGAGGTTTTATGTTTAGGTCTTTGATTCATTTAGAGTTAATTTTTGTGTATGGTGATAGGTAGGGGTCCTGTTTCAATCTTCTGTATGTGGTCAGCCAGTTTTCCCAGCAACATTTACTGAATAGGTTTTCCTCTCCCCAGTAGTTGTTGTTGGAGGTTTTGTCATAGATGAGTTGGTTGAGGAATTGAGGCTTTGCTTCTGGAATCTCTATCCTCTTCCATTGGTCTATGTGCTTGTTCTTGTACAAATACCAGGCTGGCCATGTGTTTATGTTCACTAATTTTTTTTCTACGCTGTCTAATCTGCTGTTAATCTCATCCAGTTATTTTATCTCATATAGTATAATTTTCATCTCTGGAAACTTGACTTGGGTGTGTATACACACACACACATACACACACACACACACACACACACACACACACACACACACACACACACACGGGAGTGGGATCCAATAAAACCTGGAATTATCTTTTGAAAGGCGGTCCCTTGTAGTACAATCAAATTTGACCTGATCAAATGGTCAAAGTATTTGTTTGGAAGTTTTGAGAAGGTTGTGTCATGATTTGTGGAAGAAATGTCCGAAGTTGTGGCATACAGGTGACTGGTTCTTCCACCATAATAACGCACCTGCCCTCATTGTGCTGTGTGTTCAGCAGTTTTTGAGCAAAAAATGGCATGATCCCAGTGCCCCACCCTCCCCATTCACCTGATCTCTCCTTGACCTACATTTTTTGTTTCCCTGGATAAACAAAGTCTTCAAAGGGAATTGTTTTGCCAGTGTGGAAGAGGTGAAACAAAAAAATGGTAAAAACACTAAAAGGTATCCAGCTGTGGAAAAAACATCTTGATAGGTATATTACATCAAACAGAGAGTACTTTGAAGATGATCAAAGTTTAAACAGTAAGAATAAACACACGATTTTTTAAAAAAGTGCATTTATACATTTATAAATAAATTCTGGGTTTTTTTGGGTCCCCCTTTGCATACCTTCCATTCTCTACTTAATCTTTTGAACATATGGAATAGTTATAATAGCCATGTAGTTGTCTTTGTCTGCTAATTCTGACACTGGTATCCATCTCCATGAGCTGATTCACCTCCTGGTTACGGGTCATGTTTTCCTGCATCTCTGCATGCCTGGTGATCTCTGATGAAGGATGGGCATTGTAATTTTACTTACTGGGTGTTGAATATTTTTGTATTCCTATAAATACTCTTGAACTTTGTTCTGAAATGCAATCAATTTCTTGGAAAAGTGTGATTCTTTTGGGTCTTGCTTTTAAGTTTTTTGGGGGGGAAAGAGCAAAGCAATGGTCTGTGTAGGGCTAATTATTCCCTACTATTGAGCCAGGACCCTTCTGTGTGTTCTACCCAATGTCCTATGGTTCTTTCGGCTTTCCAGAAGAAAGAAGGCACTGTTCCTGGCCCTGTGGATGTGCTGGGCACTTTCTCCTCTAACCCTTTGGGTTGGTTTATTCCCTGACATCAGGTCATTTCTTTGCATGCATGCACAGAAGGGTACCCTGTGTAGTCCTCTGGCATTCTTTCCCCAAGCATCGCTTTCTTTTTATTACTCTGTGCTGCTAGCTTTGGCTTTCTGGGTCTCCCCAGTTTCTCAGTTCTGTCTTTGCAATGCAGAGTGTCCCTGATTCCTCCTGGACTCCTCTGCCCTGTGCATGACTGGAACTCTCAAGGCAGTGGGCTAGGACAACTGGCAGCTTCTCTTGCTTGCTGCTTGTCTCTCAAGGATCACTGTCTTTCATTACCTAATGTCCAGGGTCTTGCAAACTATCAGTTCATGCATTTTTTTCCCCTGCATTTTGGATGTTGCAGGTGGGAGGGTAGATGTGGTAGATGCCTTCTGAAAGGAGAAGTTTTCATCTCTATTTTTTAAACTTTGGACACTCTTAGGTGGTCTTGGGTGTCTGTAAGACTCCAAGCTTCCCCTCCTCCTTGGCACTGCTTACAATGTTCTCCTGAGTGACTCTCCTCCCTACGTCCACATGTTCTGTCTTCCTTTAGACATAGTGCATGTGCCAGTTTCTTCATATGGCTTTTCCAGGTCCCTTGGTTGACATTAATTTGTTCTTTTAATCTCTCACAGCATTCTGTGCCTCTATTTTAAGCATTTATCTCAGCCCCCTACATTAATTCATCCAACTGTTTATGGATTTTCTAAAAAGTGGTGGATTTCTGAGCATCTGCTACTATGTGTCCAAAAGTGCTGGGAACAAATGAAACAAAAATGGAGGACTGCCTCCTGCACTTAAGAAGATTATGGTCTAGGGTGATCAACAGGTAAATGATTAACTACAGCAAAATGATGTAGTGTGACTGGGACATAGGAAGAAGTAATCAGTTCCACAAGCATGAGGTGAGGACAGGTTCAGCAAAGCCTTCGCAGAAGAAATTATGTTTTTCCTGAGCCTTGAAAGATCTCCAGTTGCCCAAAAACAGTGGATTCCAAAACTCAGGCTCTTCAGTGCCACGGTAGCGTAGTCTTCATTCCTCTCCCTCCCCCTCATCTCCTCCCTCCCTCTCTCCCTCCCTTCCATTCAGTAGTTCTCACCTGAGAGCAATTTTGTCACCTTCCCTCCATCCAGGGTATTTGGCAATGTTTAGAGATGACATTGGTTGTTGTCACCACTTAGGGAGTGTCATGGCATATAGTCAGTAGAGGCCAGGGATGCTACCAGACATCCTACAATGTGTCAGATAGCCACCCTCCTTACCCCCACATATAAACAATTATCTAGTACCAAATGTCAGTCATGCCAAAGTTAAGAAACTTGTCTTTAATTAAACACATTTATTAAGCACCTGTTGTGTCCTTAGTATTATTTTAGATGCCAGGAGATGCATTCAGGAATAATCTCTGAAGTTTACATTTTAGAGAGTGAGAAGAGAGAAACAGAAAAACAATTGAAAAATATATAGCATGTCAAATGGCGATAAGGGTCGCTAAAAAACATGAGATGAGGAAGGAAGCCAAGGAATGTTGTGAGGGGTGTTGCATTTTTAAATTGATGGTCACAGTGTCTCTATCAGCAATGAATGAAAGTTAAAGATACCACTGAAAAGGTGACATGAAATAGGTAAAGGAGTGAGTCATGTGGGTCTCTTGAGGAAAGGCATGACAGCAGAGGGAATGAATACAAAGGCACGGAGGTAGAAGTGTAATGGGTGCTATCTGGAAGCAGCGAGGAGGTCAGCATGCTTGAAATGGAGGGGTCATGTTGCTGACTTCAGCTCTTCCCTAGCACCCACTCTGTTCCATTCTGTTTTAGACAGACATTTCTGGCTCAAATCTAGAATGCTCCACATGTTCCACTACCGACTTGAATGTATGTGTGTGGGAGGAGAGAGAGGCAGGATCCTTGTGGTTTCATGCTTCTTTCCCCCAGCCAAGAGCTGGACCCGTGTCTGTGATGAGACAGTGCATGGGCGATGCAGTCACACTATCAGGCTATGAGCCAGCAAGAGGTTCTCCTGCCTCCTGGATGTCCCACTGAGGAACGGGGAAGGAAAGGAATGAGATCTATTCTTCCCCCTCTTACTCCCTTCTAACCAAAGAGGCAAAAGGTGTTAGATAGCATTTTAATAAAAAATACTGTAGCCTTTACTGTGCAAAGCATAGTGCTGGGCTCATAGTAAGTCTAATAACATTATTTTGGTTGACAGAGTATTGTACAAGGCCATTACCCTGGGAAGAAATACATGATTTTTACATGATTTCTAGTTGCTTTTATGTAATTCTTTCCTTTAATCTTCACAACAATCCTACGGGAGTGGATACTGTTGTTATGTCCATTTTACAGATGAAGAATTTAAGTAACTTTCCCTTGGACTCACAACTAGCAAGTGGGATAAAGTTGGACTTAAATCCAGGTCTGTCAAAATTCAAAGGCCATGTTATTATCCATTACATTATTTGCTCAATCATGAGCTTTTCATGTTTTCTTTGTAAAATCAAAGCATGCTGAAGTTTCATAAAACACTTTGGCAAGGACCAACCCTAAATCCAAAGTAATGATACTGCTTTCATAAGCTAAGTCTTAGAGTTATTGAAACAACAAATCAAAAAAAGATAATGACATTGGGAATTATGTTACTTTCTGTAGAATCCTGATAAGCCGAAGGGGGTGAAGATGAGATATGGAGCATGGTATCTGGACACCAAGTTGTGGAAAAAGCAGAGCACAGATGACCTACTGGTTGACCCTAAGGTCTCATGTAACACTCAAGAAGAGAATTTTCAGGAGGAGCTGCAGAAACAGGTGTGTATGTATGTTGAGACTTGACCATCTGAGCCAAAGATGATCACAGTATGTCTGCCACCCTCATCCTGAAACCAGAATGTCTGGAATCATATAGAGACTCCCAAAAGCTCTACAACATGCATATGGAATTTAGCAGCAAGAGAGCCAAATCACTTATGGGAAATGTGTGATGAGTAGAAATCTACTGGCTTCATGGCAGACACAGTGTCTCTAAAGTTGGGACAGCCACTCATGACACACCTGACATTCTTGGAACAATTGATTCAGATAGTGATGGGTGGGACCACCTCAGTACTCAGAGTAGATATGATGTCATCCTCTTCTTTGGGTAACAAACTAAATGTGAAGCTTTTATGCTAGCAGCAATAAATGAATGTTAAGAATTCAACATGGCAACCAGTAATTTTTAAAAAATGGAATACAGCTGAATTACAGGATCTGAGAGGAAAGGAACAAAGGTTAAGCACTGTGTGATATCTCAAAGTCACAAAAATGCACAATAAGGCTGTGCTCTAATTTTATTATGGATAAACTCTTGCCTGCCCATTCATGAGTAATCACTGATCAGTTGCCTCCTTCAAATGTAAAAGCTACGACAGGAGGGATGGACGTTTTTATTTTGCCCAGTATTGGGTATAATTATGTTCAGGCATAAAGTATGACACACATTATGTGCACTGCATGCTTATAAACCTCAAAATAATGTAAATAATATTTAGCAGAATTCCTTGGTGTATGGTTTTGGGCTGCCTATCTAAACTTATGTAAATTTAATATGTAACAAAAAACTATTCCAGTTGCACTTTAAAAAGTTACAAAATTTTCTCAATGAATTGAGTATTTAAAAATAAAAATAAAGCTGGGTGGCCCATGCCTGTAGTTCTAGCACCTTTGGAGGCCAGGGTAGTTAGGTAGCTTGAGTCCAGGAGTTTGAGGCCAACCTGGACAACATAGTGAGACCCTATCTATACTTAAAAAAAAGAGTTGCAGACATTTGCTTTAGGGTTTCTAGAAATTCTCTTTTAAAAAATATATTCTTAACAACCAATTCTTAAATATTTAAAGGATTTTACAAAACGTATTTCATTTTGATGGTGAATGTTAATAAGGTTGTTTGCCAAAATAATTATGTTCAGCTAAAGAAAAAGTTACTTAAATTTTGGAAATATAGTTGATGTAAATACTATGGTAAAAGATTGTTTATCAGGAAGTTTAGGCACAGGAAGGGTTCAAAACAATGAAATTGTTCTACAGTGATTTTTATGAATCACACCTTTATAATACCTGAGAAATGATTTACCTTATGTGCTTTAGGGGTACCATTAGGCTCTGGCACACCAATTCACAAATACAGACACCATGATGTGGTAGAGAGGGATAGCAACTATGACAACATGACTGTCTTGCTGGGAACTCGTGAATTTTGACTACTCTTGACTGATTTGTTTTGGAAGGTGAAATGGTCTTAAAGCACTGAATTGCAGTTATGTAAACATATACATACAATTTTTAAATTAAAATAAATGTAAAGAAAAGCCAAAAGGATGCCTGACTGTTATGAAGATGTTGAGATTAGATCAAATCGTTTTTGATTGCCATGCCCTTTGAAGTTAAGATCTATAAATGGAATCAAATATGTTAGATTCCAGACATCTGAGGTCAACAGCTGTTGACTTGCTAAGTGTATTGCTTTTCCTAAATACAAGGGTAAGGAGGAGAGGAGGGGGAGTTGGGCATCTTTGAAAACCTTTCATACTCATCCACTCGTGAACATTACACATGTATTCAAAATCGAGAAGGATGTGGTTTAAAGTGAGGTCCTTTATAAAGAGCTAAGTGCTTTTCACAAGGATAGATGTGAAATTGAGCTTCTGATGGCTAAACGTTTTCTCTAATGTTTCTTTCAGGAGTTCCTTGCAGACCTTCATGGAACAGTTGCCTTTAAGGACTTCATCCTACGCAGGGGCTACAGGATGCCGAGTGTGAATAAAGGGTCATCTTTGAAAACCCTGCCGAGGGGCTTCGTAGCTCACAGTTGCTGATGGGAAGGGGTCAGGATGAGAAAACCCAATGCTTCTCTATCTGGTACACACCAGGCCTCAGGCCCCGGGATAAAGGGACTGAGAGACAGGAGGTGGCATTTCACCCTTTCTATTCTGCTTGCTTGGTCTCTGCTACTGTCAGAGGTCCTGTTTTCCTGTGATACTTGATTCAGCCTTCTTGGGTTTGGCCTCAATGGGACCAGAAGTGAATGGGGTCTATGTTCAGGGCCTACGCCTTGCAAATTTTGACTGTAACTAAGACACTGAATTCTCTAGGAGGTCTTCAATCTCCTTTTTTTCTTCTTCTAAGGACAAAGGACTTCAGCCAGGACAAGATAGAGTTGGGAGTTGCAATTTTGTCATTGTATTATTACCTCTGCCTCAAGTGGAGATAGATGAGGGCAAAAGTTCACTTACTGGGAAGACTGCCAGTGCCGTCTTTTTCTCCTTTTCTGCCTTCTAATTTCCCCTCCCTTAGCTTGTGAAGGCGTCCCCAGCTGCCATTCCATGTGGGATGATCACTCCCTGGCAGATCACTCAAAACCAGAGTGGGTAAGAGGTTAGCAGAATGGACCATTGAGCAGTAGGGCCTGGAGCCTGGGCTGTGTGGCAGCAGGTGAGCAGAGAATCGATTTGGGGTCAAAGCTATCACTAATAATAAGTCCTGCATTTGCCCATGGTCCTCTGGGTGCACGCCTCTCCAGAGCTTTAGGGCACAGTGCAGCCTAGATGGTCATAAGTTTCCGGAAATGGGATATTATATTTTTGTTTTTCCAAGAGCAATAAAGCTAACGATAGCTTATACTTACTGGCAAATAAATGTATTGACCAAACTCAGAGATGGACTGCTTTCAAAGTCAAACCAGGCAAGTCTGGAGCATGAGATGGGTTGGTTATAAATCTCCATTTCAGAATGGGATGGAGTATTTCCTTTCACTTTGAATGTTGATAATAGGCCTGCTAGATATATTTAATATACTAATAAAAATGTATGTACTTATAATAACTATTGAATCTGTATATAAGGTTTACATATGTATACGTGTGTATTTTAAGTTACGCTGACATATTTTTAATATTGCATAATTGTATATTTATATTATATATGTAAATATACAATTATGTGGTTCATGTATATATATCAATCCTTATTTGCTCTTGATGCTGTGACTCATTTTTCTACCTTAACATTTTTAGTAGCAAAACAGACTTTCTATTTTGATTTGTTCCCTTTGGTTTAATCCATTCTGTTGATGAGCAGTTAGTTCAATCTTGGGCAAAAAGAAGCATGCCTGGCACACTGCTATACTCTTTTCAGTCACAATAGCTCATGAGAGATGATGCCACTGGCCATAGCCGAGGCCACTGAGAACACTGTCACTCAAAACCTTACAGTATTTTGTCCCTTTATTCTTACATCCTATATTCTCTATTTTATCAATAAGATTTCAACTAGCTGGGCATGGTGACTCACTCCTGTAGACCCAGTACTTTGGGAGGCAGAGGCGAGAGGATTACCTGAGCTCAGGGGTTCGAGACCAGCCTGGGCAACTTGGCGAGACCATGTCTCTACAATAAATAAAAAAATTAGCTGGGCATGGTGATGTGTGCCCGTGGTTCCAGCTACTTGGAAGGCTGAGATGGAAGGATCACCTGAGCCCAGCAGGCTGAGGCTGCGGTGGCCATGAGCGTGTCACTGCACTCCAGCATGGGTGACAGAGTGAGACTCCAACTTAAAAAAAAAAAAATATTTCAACTAAAAGAAAGAAAGAAATCTATTTTGTTTTGTTTTGTTTTTGAGTTAGAGTCTCACTCTGTTGCCCAGACTGGAGTGCAGTGGCACTCTCACGACCACTGCAGCCTTGACTTGCTGGGCTCAGGTGATCCTTCCACCTCAGCCTTCCAAGTAGCTGGAACTACAGGAGCACACTGTCATGCCCAGCTAATTTTTTAATTTATGGTAGAGACGAGGTCTCACCAAGTTGCCCAGGCTGGTCTTGAATTCCTGGGCTCAGGAAATCCTCTCACCTTGGCCTCCCAAAGTGCTAGGATTACAAGCTTGAGCCACCACACCCGGCAAGAAAGAAATCTATTAAGTAAATGTACACAGGATTATTACTTACTCACTTAAATGTGTATATGAACACTCTCTCTTTGACTCCATAACGTATGTGCACACTGTGTGTATTTGGGTATACTGTGTTGCAAACATCCTTCTATACACTTTCCTGTATCCTCTGCTAGATTATGTACTTTATGCATTACCCACAGCTTCATTCCCTTCCTGCACTGGGGAAGCCCAGGCCTTGAACAGCAGGGGCGGGCAGCACCAAGCTATGTGGATGATGCATTAACACCCACCAGGACGGATCCATCACACACAAGTTTCTGAGTAACTCCCCTTGGCCTGGCTCAGACTGCACTGCAGAGCCTTACGCAGTCTGGGGCTCTTCCTAGCTACTCATTCCTTCATTGGCTGCTTTTCACAGGTCACACCTACAAAGCCTGAATATTTTTCCCTGTCTGCTCTTGTTCTTTCTTCTTTTCCCACCTCCCCTGACAAGCATTGTCCCATTGAGTTTCTTTTAACCTCCAAGGAACTCAAACTGACACAGCAGTTCTTGCTATCCCTGCTAGTCCTGACTGCAGTTGAATGCATGCCCTAAACCTCAGCACTTTCCTAACCACAGACCACAAGATACAGAACTGAATCAAGAAAGACATTTGTCTGCCTTGAACATTCCTTGAACATGATTGTGTTGGGGGAGCTGGCCAAAATTCCCTAGGTCCTTCTGGTAAAAAGTTGCCTTGTGTTTAAGGCTAGATTCTCTACCTGGCTGCAGCACTCAGCACAGTGGTGCAGGCCTACTTGGGCCTGGGCTCTGGGCTCTGGTTCTCGATGTTCAGCCTCCGCCTCAGGCCTTGCCAATTTTTAGGTACATGAGAGATATTTATTTATTTTATTTAAAAAATTATGATTTATTAATTTTTTAATTATAAAGATGTGGGGTACAATTCAGGTATACAAACACTGATTAGGTAGGTACCCTTGTTAATGAGGTATGCCCCTCCCTCCCCTAGCAGTTTCCCTCACAGCCACCGCAGCCTCAACCTGCTGGGCTCAGGCGATCCTTCTGCCTCAGCCTTCCAAGTAGCTGGAACTACAGGCATGTGCCACAGTGCCTGGCTAATTTGTTTATTTTTATTGTGGAGATGAGGTCTCAAAAAATATAAAAAAGACTCAGACTAAAGATTCTGGCCACAATCCATAGTCAACAAATTCAGTTTCCTGATATTTATCCATGAAGTTTTTTTAGAGTTCCTCTAAAAGCCTGTGCCGGAAGTTTCCTCTTGATATTCAGCCTTGATTACTTCTTTCAGGAAAGCAGGAAGAGTCTTCCAACTCTGTCTCAGGCACCTGTCACTCTAATCTCTCCTGCCCAGACTTGGCCATTGCAGAGCTATTGCTAAGAGTATTTCATTTCTGCCATCAGTGTAACACACTCAATCTGACTTCTCCTCCAAAGAGGCCAAAGTCTCTAAGACCTTAGAGACAGGCTTTCCTTTGGGCCACTTCCTAATACAGACTCTCCTACTATGAGCTTACTTCTGACAGATGAGTTGAAAACTAACTATGGTACAGGAAAGAGCTGTGACACCATATTCAATTCTCAATATGAAACCTGAAGATGTTCAATGGAATAAATGGTCTTTGAGAAAGATTACTTCTAATAATCCAGGATTTGCTAATTAGACCAAACCCAATGGTTAACAGAACCTGTTCTTTCAGGAGATTGTAGGTAGACACTGGTCTACCCTAGAAAGCCAGAACCACTGTGTGCCAAACTAGAATATCTGAGGGGAGATACTTATCCAGAGTTTCTATGATAGAGCACTCCAACAAATTTTGATAGACCCCAGTGTCCAAGATCACTAGACTAACTTTCATATACAGTAGAGCCTGGTTGAGTTCCAGGTCTATCTTGCCTGGAACAGTGGTAAATCCTTCCATGGAGAAGAGCCTGAAACTTTTACTCAATGCCACACACTTTCAGGGGGCAACTGGTAACCTTGAAGACCCTCAACTTAGCCTCCATCTCTTCTACAGACAAGTGTGGAACCCTGGATATGAGGCCAGCAGCAATATGTAGCTGGTGTGCCATGGCAAGATTGCCTGGAGAGGCACCATGGGAATTCATATCCCAGGTTGCTTAAAATGCTTTCACCTTAATTTTACCAGGGATTTCTGAACCACTTGAGAACTAGATTTGACTCACAGACTCCATAGCCCAAGACTCAGTTCCATGTGCAGTGAGACCTGACTAATTCAAATTAGTTTCATTAGTTACACTGAATCAGAGAACTAAGCTTGAAGAAAATGGTCCACTGGACTAGACTGAGTGATCGTTGTACAATGAGGTGAAATAATCCTGCCCAGTGAGCAATATGAAAGATTTCCAAACAGAAGTTAATGAAATGAAACTCAAAGTACTATTTAAACAAGAAATTCATAAAAGCAGATTACTCTGAAAGCTAGAAGAAGGGTTAGCTACATATACCCTGTGAATTTTTCCTAGTTTCAATCTTCCCAAGTCCCTCTCCTCCCATGGTAAAATTGAGGCGATAAAGAGAAAAGAAGGAACTAAAAATGAACTTCCTATTATGTGAAAAAAATAGAAAGTTCTACTTCACAGGTACAGGGAGATTCCCTGTGGCTTTTTTTTAAACAAAGTCTGCCAACTTTACTTCCTATTCCAAGAGACTCCTAAGATATTCCAGGTACATATCTTAATGGGTGCTGGGAAAGTAAAATTAACATGTTACTTACCCACAAATGATATAGAAAAAACTTAAAGTATCCAGCCTTGTCTATCCCTGATTCTCCAAAACTTTATCCTTAATTTTTAAACTCTATAGCTAGCTTAATTCCAGTTTGGAAACATTGAAAACAGCAGACAAGATAACTGAAGATACGATACATGTGCCAATAGTGCAATTTATTTTCTATCTTGAATATACTAGTTATAACCTTGGTAACCCATTGGTTTTTATCTTGAATGCTGTCTTTCATTCAAGGAATAATGAATGACTCCTGCAAAACTTTGTAAACCAAGAAGAGTTATTTTTCTTACTTTTCCAACAGTTGCTTGGATGAGACAAGTGACAGCCTGGAAGGGCAGCGGATTTGATGCACATGATGAAAGGAGGCAGAGAATGCTGGCAGGTAGATCATCCCCTCTCCATCCCTCAGACCAGCCACAAGGAGTCACCATCTTTTGAAACAGAGCCACTGCATAAACATGCAGATGTTCCACCCAGGTCCTCTTTAAGGAAGAACTTGATGCCTAGCTGCAAGACTCTAAGCCAAAAGTCGCTAGACCTCAGCCACTTCGGAGTCAGTCTCTACTGGACAGAGCTGCTTTTCCTGGGTTCTACCTCCCAGAGCAGCCTGGATCTGGTGTCTAAGTAAGGTGACCTGAAGAGGCCTGACCATTGAGGCCAGATAGGGGACAGTTAGGAGAATTACTAGCTGTGAACCTCCACATCAAACAAATGCTGGCTCTTTGGGGCTCACATTATGGTTTACCTGGTCTCTGACTATTCCTGCCTTCTCCTTCCTTCCACAGGTGGCCATTCTTTACACACACCTCACACCCCAAACTCAGCAATGACTTAAAGAGCCCAAGATGGTACAGAGGTCCTTTGTGATGAAAGAGTACATGTCTTTTTTGACAGCAGCTCCTTTTTTGCTTTCCCTCTTTCCATAACTCAGAGAAAGCAAATTTTACTGAAGCTATTCCATAAGGTTGAAGATGAGGGAGTTCTCCCTAACTCATTCTACAAAACCAGCATCACCGTTATACCAAAGCCAGAAAAAGACACCACAAAAAAAGAATACTACAGACCAATCTCCCTCATGAACATAGATGAAGAAATTCTCAGCAAATTCTAGCAAACCAAATTCAACAGTGTCTAAAAAAAAAAAATCCACCAAGATCAGGTGGGTTTTATTTCAGGGATGCAAGGTTGG